ATTAAAACAAATACATTTGCCAAAATATGACTGAAAATCTACATAAAGCATTTACGGCTCATCCATTTTATTAAAAAAGTCTTTTGAATAGACGTAATAATCTTAAAATAAAAAATAAAAACATAAGTACAGGTAGGATTATCCTCGATGTAAACAATGAGTATGCTATCTACAATAATATGAATTCTATTCACCTAGAACGCTCTAAATTTCAGATCACGCACCTAGGGACATGTACTTATTTGGTCATCGTTAGTCACCGACTCTACAACTGACGTAGCAGTCACAAATGAATGTTATTATAGAGATCTATTCAATAAGTTGCGCCCTCTAACGATGAAACGCTTCTCTTGCGTCAAAATGACGTGACGGGAGTAAGCGTTGTCGTTTAAAAAGACAATTGTGATTAGTTGTGAAGTCGTTTGTCGTTTATAATCTCAAAAACTCTAACAAACATGTTTTTATGGACAGACTTCTGGAGATGAAATATCGCCGCCGTGAAAGCCACCTATTGCACCACGTCATGGAAGCGCTTCGTCGCTAGAGTGAAAGTGGGTTGATCGTTTGACATATCATTGTCAACAACACTATTCAAATTCAGTAAATTCGAAAAATGACATATTAAATTTAATAAAGATAAAACTTGAATTGTGTTGAATATTTATCATGATATAGATTGGCCCTTCAGGTCCTGGAAATGACGGTTTCAGTTTCACGTCTTAGCAGTTGCTAAAAGGGTGCATCTTGGTCGCTTCTACCGATATCGACAAGTAACAACTGAATTACGATTAAATTATGATATATACACATATGTAGTAAATTGTATATTTCAAAGTGCTGGATTTCACACACAGGCTACATCATTTAGACGCAATAGTACAAGTCTTAAATTTTCTAGAGAAACCTGCACTATTTAACCAACACAAACATCTATGGAATATGCGCTATTATATTCGGTATGTCTCTCAAAGAATCTGGTTTCGAAAACAACCTTTTCGAAAATCTGAATTTCGCGGTGAAAAAGTGAAGAATGTTATATTTCTGAAACGGAGACCCCGTGTCTTGCGTGACTGGAAATAATTGCTGGGTAACCACGTGACGACGCACAGACTACACCATTTTACACTACACTGCTACCGATTAAATGTGACCAACTGGAAGTATTTTTAAGATACATCACATATAGAATGCTGCACGCAGTTAGTTTATACTTTAAAAAACGCGTATGGGTGGTGTATATTTAATTTATATCCCATAGTAAGCAATTATTCTATGACTGAATGCATTTGCACGCTTGATGAGAAGACGGGCGTTCAAAACTGACTGATTGGCAAATATACGCGCATGCGCGTGCCTAATCTAGTCAATGAAAAACACTAAACTGACGATGAGAGAAAAGTGTATGTATGTGCACATTTTTTCATCTAACGGAAGCACGGTCTGTCTGAAAAAAAAACAATTATTTTAAAATGTCTTTGTTAAATTGTTTTGCTCAAAGGTTTAAAATGAACAATAAAAATTATAATATTTGTTTCATTTTCATAATATCTTTTAAATCACTAGGTATTTTTTTAACCAACAGCGTTAATTCGACGCGTCAATGGTGTCTCCTAATCCTTAAAAGATGTTTGTATTTGGTAACTAAAAAAACTTGAATAAATCACATCGTATTTACGTCATTGCCCCAACTCTATGTGAACTAAACTTCTGATGTTTAAAGAAACACAAGAACGCTAAAAGGCACTAAAATCATAGTCTCCTCTCTTGGCGTGTCTTCTTTTCAAGGGTTGAGTTGAAAGACTTGGAATTACCCTCTAGTAGGCCAACGAAGGAAAATGAATAGAACTGCATATTTTGATTGGAAAAAACAAATGCTTGGCTAGTAAATGCTTAAAATGTCCAACGCTAAGGGCGTTAAATTTAACAACTACCGACCCAGACGACCACATTGCCATGCGTGATGTTATTGATTTGACACCTTTCTTCCCGGGTGTTGCCATCGAGTATGAATACACTTTGCGCCGCGGGCGATAGAAGATATGGACCGAATGAACCGCTTCCTTGAATAACACGATTGTTTGCATTCCACCTCCACTCAGTTAGGTCCATAGCTTGCCCAACCCCTGTTATCATTTCTACCTTTCCGTCTTTCAAGTCAACGAAGAGCACATCCGTTTTATCCTGAGAGCTAGCAAAGATGTCGTAGGTATGGCTGCCTTTAGCAGGGTAGAACGCTATGTCGCTCACGTGAAGATTGGTATGAACATCAAAAGAGGGCGCTATACAACCACATTCTGATACAGTTTGAACCGTTACTGATCCGGAATCATTGTCAACGCTGATGATATACCGACCATCAGGAGATACGTATGGTTTGCCTTTAATGGCGTCCATGACGGTAATTACATCATCGGTGAGGTAATCTAAGATTAACTGTTTGGCAGTGACGCTGTCTCTTCCTTCGCAGCGTACAATGACGTATCCACCGATGGGGGTGAAAGCCAGGTCACTGGGATAACAATCATATTCTGACAGATCGATCGCTTTTATTGAAGCCATTATTTCCATGTCGATTTTGTGTAATCCAAGCTCGTCTTTGTGCACGACATAAATATATCGATATTCGTCCTGCATTGACAGTGCCGATGGTGGAATAAATATTCCTTGGACGAGGTCAAAGTGGTTGCCGATTGGTTGAGTATGGACAGTGTCGTGTGCAATGTGTTCGCTCGCCTTCCTGATGATTTCTATGGTTCGTTGCCCATTATCTTTGTCAAGCGTGCCCCAGCATAGAACCCAAATTTCATCCAGATATTTAACGTATTGCAGTTCGACTGGCACGTTGTCGGTGGGAACCACCTGTGAGAATATACCAAAAGTGATTTTAAATACTATCCTTGAAAAAGAGGGACCATTATAATGAAAGGCACATGTTATTTAATTATACTTAATTATTGGATAATTATTGAGATAGGTATCACTAATCACGTGCATTTCCATGTTAATGACAGCGTTCCTACCAGATGAAGTTTTCAAAAAATAGCGTGTTCGTGTTATTTTTGGTATTGCATGTTAACCTATGCCTCGCAACATAATCTGCATTGATATTTTTTTAATTATGTATGGGTATATTACTTGTTTTTCGTTGTTTTCCCATATGTAATCTGAAATATAACATGAACGATTAAGAAATAGAGGATGATGATCCCAATTGGATGAAATATATCTATTTTTGTTAACAATTTCAAGTTCATCATCAATACCACGCCGTGTTAAATTAAATTAGGAATACATAGATCGGTAGTAAATGCTGACCTCTATAACTTGCTGAGTGTTTATTTCAATGATGATAACTCTGTTTTCTTCCGGCTGAGTGACGTAGATAAACTTCCGGTCGATTTCAACGGCATCTCCCCAGCTACACGTGTCACTGCTACAAACATGAAATTCCGTTCCAACTATGGTGTCGGCTGGCAAGATACTCCGACTAAGCTGACATGTTTTAGGGTCATAGACTTTAATGCCGTTGTCATGGAAAACGTAAAACAAATCTAGCGGTCCGTGGTGCGCTGAAATTAAAAAGTGGGGGAAATACAGCATATATTAATGCTCGTTATTCTCTGCGGGTTTATTTACGTGAAATCGTGATAAAATGTGTCTCAATCCACGCCTGCCTCGACTAGCCGTGCAATTCATCTCTACTGTACATGGTACTTGTTAACGGGCGGTGGTCCTCCTGCAGCGCGTGTTCCAATTTCATGTACTGTAAAAGGATTAATTATTCACTGGGTTTTAATATGTAAAATTTAGCATAGACTGCATTATTTAAATGATAAAACCGTGAATTTAAAACCCACTGAATGTGCCTAAAATGGTAAATCAGCGAAATTTAAACCCAGTTAAAATTAGTAATTTTACAGTAAACAATGTAATTTACACACGTTGTATACGTTGCTATGGGTCCCATAACGAACAGGACGCGGCGCGACGACCACTGCACTTCAACTAAAATATGTAAATACATATATAATCGTAATATTGACCTTGTTATTACGTGAAAACTCAACCCGTCTCAATGAAATGTACACCTACAGTAAGATCGACTTTTCAAGTTACTTAGATGTCGATCAAAATATCGTTTGACTTACTTGTTCTGCGCTGGTCCTCAATGAACAGAGATGCCACGGCTTCTTGTTTACCAGCAGGGTTTACTGCACTACATGCATAAGCACCAGTGTCTTCGTATTTGAGGTCGTTAACAAGAATACTCGTGCTATTAGCTGTGGACAAACAGAATATGTGATTTGCCTCAGCCACAGGGTCAACAATCATCGTACGTAGATTGAACTCTCAAGATGGCTTGAATTTGATCACTTTCAACTTGACGATACTTACCATCAACGGTTACGTGTCCTGAAGCGGTGGTATCCATGACAACGCCATTCTTTTTCCAACTCAGTTCAGGTTGAGGAATACCAAACGCTGAACATTTCATGGCTGCATAGCTTCCCGGCAGGAGAATCTGGCTACGTGGACACACTTTCACTTCGGGTGTTACTGTGAAACAATGGAAAAAAAGAGTAGTGGTCGGAGTGTTCAGTCGGTGAATTAAAAAAAAAAGGTGCGTCAGTTGTGTGATTTCAATGATGTTGTTCTGTCTCAGGTCGTGAATTGTTAGAACAGTGATTAGTATATCTACACGAATAAAAGGAATGTGTGAAAATCAAAAATCTACATAGAGTACGCTGTACAAAAAAAGACTACACGGACAATCTCTTTTTAATAGCCCGAAATATACCGGAGAGAAGTCTAAATACACTGCGCTCATTGTTTTACCTTCCACTTTCAGTACGTGTGTTTGCACAACCTCTTCTCCAATATTAGCATGACAAGTATAGTTGCCGGTATGAAGAGTCGTGAGAGACGTGAAGTATAGAGAATGGTCGTCCAATGTCTGAAACAAGAAACACAAAGATTAAATTAATGCTAACACGCATAAAAACAATGTGAAATTGACGACTATACAAGTAATCGTTGACAAAGTGATTGGGTGCGCATGCGCCTACAATTGTTTGTACGTACTTATATTTTAAAACGTACATCCAGCAAATAATACATGGTGCGCTACTTTCGAACAAACCAAAATTAATGTTATGTTTATCTACGAGTGATCAGTCAGCTCAAATTAAATATCAAATGTCATATGATATTCAATTTTTCTCACTATTTCATCTTTTATTTCATAATTTCAAATCATATGATTTCCTTTACCCTGATGCCTTCAATGTCTCTGTCAGTCAAATCAATCCCATTACGTTTCCATCTGATACGTATCTCTGGTTCGCCTGAGATGGCGCACTTCAGGTAGAGTCCTTCGCCCAGCTTTCCAGTTGTCATCACGACGAGTGAATCATCCGGGACAGAAACCATGGAAATACCTTAAAAATAGAATACAGGAATTGCGTTAGATATTTTTCTAATACATTTGCTGTAACCCAGTTACTATATTAGACATGAATATTCATATTACAGGTAGATCCAGGATGGGTAAATTCGTCTAAATTAATATGATATACTTGCGCCGTGATTTGTTGAAAATCTGAATGTCATTGATCAACTTGTTGTACAAGACGGAATAAAGAAGCAACAACAACCCATACCCACAGGGGTTCTTTTATAATCTACAGTAAGGATACTTAAATTTATAGCTCAGCTCGATCTTCAAGACAAACGGTTGAGTTGTTAGGCGCTTTCATTGTAACATATTAGTATTCTCGAACGGATCCGAGTATGGACGAACCAACCCGAGTATCACAGAGTATCTTTATATATTCAGCACATAGATCACGTGATTATTGATGGCATAATATGGAAATTATCAAATTTGCAGACAATCGTTGAGATCAATAATGGCGTCATTGTTTATTACAAATCACTCACCAAAAGCAGCATAAAACTCATCTACATCGATTTGTCTATCTTGATTTGCGTCGTCGTAACGCAGTAAATCAAGAACACTACAGAAACCAGTTAAGTCCTGAAGCCTCGCTTTGGAAATCACTTTCACCAATTCAGCGTCATCCAGCAATTCATTGTTATCGGCGTCATAGAAACCAAACATCATACTGACTGTGAATTTCTTGTTCACTGTGGAGGGAAAAAGAGTAGCGCACCCGCTTAGAATATTAACGAAGTAATAACTTTTTATCAACACTGAGGGCCTTATTTTATGATAATGGTACTTTGATATTTGGAGGGCGATGAGCGTTCCTCCGCCTCGTGTTCGATAAGCGTCCTATGTTACGTATACTACACGTGTAAATAAATTGGCGAAGTTAAAGCGCGATCTGTACGACGATTACCGCCACCTTTTAAATCAAAAATATTAGCATTTGGTAATGATTAATAGAATTTGACGCGATGTAAATTGATTAAAAATGAATGCGTGCAGATTGGTTTTAGTTGATTGGGCGTAATATGATAGGTCAAGTGTTACGTAATAAGGCAGAATGTGAGCGATATCATACCGGGTGGGGCAGCAGCATTGCCTGTATCAGCGGAGGGGTCTGTAAATTCGTCCATGTGATGCTGTAGGACTTGTTCTTTCATCACAACATAATCTTCTTTATTACAACGATCATCTAAAAAAAACATCAAGATATAAGTAAACCCCTGTGTGACGTAGTTGGATGGGTGACGTCGTTCACAGTGTGAATATTGTTTTAAACTGTAGTCGCTCGTTTGTTTTTTCTTCAAGATTTGCAATATTCTAAATTACGAACTTTTCACAACCAAAAAGAGTTGTTTATTCGTGCTTACGTCGCGGCATGGTATCGCCAGAGGGCGCGATTTAGTGGCAAGATGTTATGCAATGTTTCTGGCTAATCAGCTGCGTTTTGGAGAGCGGGGCTCAGCTGTATTGTCACAATTAAACGCATTTGTGTTGGTTTTAATGTAATTCTGCAATGGTACATCGAACGACGACTAAAGTACGTGGCTAATGATTCTCGTTCCAGGAACCCACATACCTTTCCATTTCAATCAAATCTATCCAATAATACAGTAATACTATTACATACACCTATCTCATTAGGAGAAGGTCTCCGGATTACAGTTATCATGACGTCATCTACATTCTTACCGTTATAAAAGCATTCCTTGTTGTGCGCAATAGCTATCTTCTTGTTTTGTAGACAGGCGGCACGGTGGAGTTCACAGTGATTATCGTAACGTTTCCCATCAGACCCACATACGGGTTTCCGGTGTGGCTTGCATGACGACATGCAAACGCATTCCGGGTCGCCATCTTGATTCGTCTGACATTCTCTGCCGTTGCCACAATATACAGTCAGGCACCCATCTAAAAATAAAAACAAGATAAAATTATTAAATTATAATATCCTTTTTTTAAATAATAAACACACATTTCAAATTATAATATTTTTAAACTAATAAACACGCATTTAAAAGCCAAAAATAATAGTTATACAGTATATTGTAGGAGTGTATGTCTTTACATTACATTGGCAACCATCAAGTCAGTCGTTTCAGCTAAAATCCCCAGACTAGTTTTGAAGCAGACTTGTATAAAGGTCCTTGTTAACAGACAATTTTACAATATAAACATTTCAGACGAATCTAATTTAAATGCAGTGGACATCGAACCCATGGGAATCGCAATATTTTTCTCATGGAAGTAAAATGCAATTCTAATCCCGTTGGTTTCCATGGTGACCACTAGTGTTTGATACTTTCGCTAGAATTCATATACGGTACTGGTTAATTTTAACAGAGTGACACTCTTTATCAGGTAATAGCAATTTTCGGACAGCAACATGTTAGTAGCGTGTTTTTAGTATTTTAGCAACTGAAAATGTAATATTCTCTCCAGTCAATTATTTGCTATTTTCAACATAAATAATGCTTTAATTATTATTATTATTATTTTATATAATATATGTTTTATTAATTTCAAAATAGATAATAGGACTGGATAGAAATAGCATTCGGATATTCGCCGGTCTGTGAATCATACGGTTATATGGTAGTTATGGAATAATTGTCATCTGCGGGGAAAACCATTGTCTTGTGTGAAATGAATTCATAGAAAATACAATGAGTGGACATCATGATTAGGCCTGTAGGCATTTGGGAATCTTACATCTCTAAATGGTAAATTTACGGTTGCTGTGGGAGACCGAAAATAAATAAGGCTGTCAGTATTATGTTGGGATCGGTGGATGATTTATCGACGCTACACACTACAACTACATGGAGTATACACGCACCTCGTCTGTTGTTTGCTTATCAAGGATTAAGTC